AACGGAATTTTTACCAGGGAAATGCTCAAGGTAACATTTATTGATGCAAAGTCGACCTCATAGGTCATGGACAGTTACATCGCCTGCTTCCCGCCTTTCACACAGTTCTTGATGAAAAGAAAAAAAAAATCGAAGCGATAGCACAGCCATACGCAAGATCTTCTTCCGGGATTTTCCTTGTCAGAGTTGATCCAGACGTAGAAAGTTTGATGAAAGCGGATGGTATGTTAAGTTACAATTCACAGGCAGAACAGGTTCGTGATTACATTATAATGCTGCTGAAGTGACATTATTATAACTTTTAAGTGATGAAGAAAGTCATGATGACGCCATCATGATGTCGTTGTGAGTTTAATGTTTTACCTGGAAATTACATAGAAAGTCTACAAGCTGCAAGCTATATCGGTTATAAACGGACACATAAAATTGGATTACTATTCGTTGATCTTACCTCTTTCGCGTTTTATGTAATGCCGTTGCACTTGAATTATGATCGTCGCAATTAATGCATAATAGTATCTTTAAGTTCCGGGATGTAAGTTTTCTCGAAAGTCCTTGACTAGTTGTCTCTGATATTATTTTACATTTACGATTACTACTCGAGAATTTTATTAATAGTCATTCAAGAATTGTACGGTATAATTACTTGACTATCCGGTTTTTATCTCAACCGGTTTGCGTCGGAAAAGTAAAACTTATGAGAAAGAAACAGTCTTTCATTTATATTGTTTTGCTGATTTATACGCGCAACACTGGCTGTGCTTAAAAAATCATTGGCATTGCTACAAATTTTTAACTCAGATGTAGAGATGCACAGTCTCAGTACGTGTAGAGATATATTTTCAGCATCGAAACACAAAAATTGGAATTTTAGAACACAAATAGTCCTACTAGACTTTATTTACGCGAAGTTGTAGTTGCGTTGCATCTAAAGATAAGAATAATTGTTTTAACGGTAAGAGATAAAAGGAAAGTAATTGAACAATTTGACACAAGCAGAAAGTGCTGTTTGATGAGGGAAATACATATTACCTGTACGTGATTAATAATGCGGAATTAGTGAATGATCTTTATGTAATAAAACTTTGTAAAACAGATCGGAGCATTACCGTATTGTTAACACAATGTAATTACGCATTTATCGAAGGCGTAAGCGAGATAAGGTTTATTTATCACACACACATTTTTTAGACACATTGTTAAAATCTCATATCAAGTAGGACACTGTTACTTATAACGATTATGATTGTGTTTAAGCTGAAAGATATGGAACAGTTAGAATGATTAAGTTAACACAAATTAAACACAGTGCTCGGTTCCGCGATTCACTTCACGGCAAAGCGAATAGCGCACGAATGTACTCAGGCAAACAACAAGACGGAACTACTGGATGATGAGCCATTAACGGCGGTAAGAAAAAAAAGCAATTTATCGCACTGGCATTAACGCATACGCAGCAATTCGAGATAAAAACTGTCGATAAACCTCTAAAGATGGTATAGTTTGACCAGTTTAAACGATATACATATATTTCATGTCTTTTCTACTGTCACTGTTTTTAATAGAAGGTGTATAATTTTTCTTACATAATTGGATTTTCCTTATTAAAGGTAGTAATTTAGATGTAAAAGTATCAAGATAAAGTTATCAAATGATTAGTGCAGTTTACTACGACGTGTATTTATGCTTATTCATCTTATTATTCAAACTTCCTTCGAGAATGAATATCGAGTGGGGTCTTTAGAATGGAAACATATCTTGAAACGCGAGTGAATTGTTTTTAATCAATATCAAAGTTATACGTTTCCAAGAGTTTCGCTCTGTTAAATAACTTTACGGTTCTGTAAAGAACCCTTTGACACTACGACCAATTCTATTAAATCGATCCATTCTCGTCAAACTATGTAGGTCATTTGAAAATTTCTCGGAATTAATTACAGTTGTGTCGCATACAGACGTCATACATTAAATGGAAAATTCCACCCTTCTACGAACACGTCTAAAGTTCCGATTCATTCCGGGATGTACATTCATTTTTGTAGATCTTTGAGGAAACATCTGCGTGATCTCTGAAAAATGAAAACATAGTGCCATTGTAATTAAATATCAATGAATTAAGGTACGATTTGTTGTCGCATCTTCCTTATTCGCTCCGTCGGACTTCGATCTATTTTCATCCTGGAAAAAATTTCTTATTGGCAAATACATTTTGGTTTCTTTGCATCCCCTCGTAGAAATTTTGCTAAAAATATAGTGAAACTTTGTGTTGAAACTTGGGATTTAAAAATCCCTTTCTCTCAATTGATCTCGTTTTATTATCATTTCATCGATATTTCCATTAGGATCATTTGACAAATCAGAGTTTTGTAATGGATGACTTTGGAGCATTATATGTGGCCCAAATTTCTTGATATAAAGAGAGATTGTTTCATATGTGTTGGAAGATAAAAAATAATTATAAAAAGAGACGAGTTGTCTTATTTCATTCCGAGAATAAAATAAATGACCTTATACGTTGAAGCACTCGGAGGAATTGTTTTCAATTTTTGTAAATGACCCATTTCTTTTTTCCCATCTTCTCATATACGTTATGTATATCATGCTATGTTTATACACATTTGTATAAATATATGAATACATTATATATGCGATAAAAATATGTACAGCGCTATTCATTAATGCCTGGGCATTTTTATCATCATTTTGTCCATCTGTACAAATCACTGACAATGAGTTTCAGGCTGCATGTATGTACTACCACAGACTTATATAGAAGTCTATGTGACTTCTATAGAAGCCTGTGTGTACTACAGCCTTGAACTAATCGATGTATAGATGGGAATAAAGATTATGAAAATGTAATCCTAGTAAAACTGAGGTCCAGGCAAGTAGCACTGTATTATTGTACAATTCAACGCGATAGCTTATATTAAAAATTGAAGATGAAATAACTAAAGTATCTATTTTAAACATCTCTATAATTTTTATTTAATTTATACTTCTTCACTATCTCTTCACTATTTCTTGAATACCTTTATTCTTATCTAATAGCTCGTCTTACAATAAATCTTACAATAAATAATTTATCATTTAAACACATTATATTTGTCGATAATGATTCAAGTTTTCTTCGTAGTTTGTCTAAAAGGTATGGCGCACCGGAGCAGGGGCGTCATTGCGCTCCTTTCCTAAGCACTGACCACAGCCTGTTGACGAGGAAGGGGGAAAGGGAGTAAGTTGAAAATGAACTAATAAATAATTAAGTGAAAGGTAAAATTAAACAAACGTAAAATAGAAATAATTATAATTTATTTCTTACAAGCAATGGCGATTGTTTTCTTAAGTTATGCCTGCTAATAAAAATCTTTAACAGAACGTCAATGTCTACAGCTTTGATTATATCGCGGTATGTATTAATGACACTAGAATCATTCAACCTTTTCTGAAGCATTGTGGAACGCATGTATGTTTTCAATCGCCGGAGAGTTGAAAAGGAGCGCTCCTTCGAACACTGCGAATTTCAAAAAACTTCTCTTTTTTTTCGGGGACAAGTATTTTATCCGTCGATCTCGAGGTATGGAATTCCATGCCTAGGCTACATTGAGGTTTTGACGAGGCCGTAAGGGCCGTGCCGACGCTCCTGGATCGGAGCACCAATCGAAAGCTATCCAGACGGCGTCGACATTCTTATACGAGGAACTCCGACTCCGGTAGAAGCTGTCAGCACCTGTCATTGCTCGTCATTGAATACCTACGCCGCGTCTTAACGATTCGGACCGTTTGTTCGCAGAAGAAATCGGTCCGGATGAGTTCCCTGCACCTGGCAGACGGTAAGTACGCGACAACCGAGCCTCTGCCGAGAGGATGTTGCTTTACAGAGGATGTGCGCTCTTATGAAGAGCTGGTAGGGCCTTACGTGCGGTTGGCCCCACGTCACGTCGAGCCCGTTCTGAGAGAGCTAACTTCTGTTTCAGGCTCCGAGAAGCCGGCGGAAGTGGAGGGCCAGGCGCGTCTGTACAACATGGCGTATTGCCCCTTCGCCCACCGAATACGCCTCGTGCTCAGTCTGAAGGAGATCCCGCACGACATCGTCAACATTAATCTGCAGAGCAAGCCGCAATGGTTCCTTCAAGTACGCAGCAGTCGAGTCCCGTTTTCACGGGAACGTGGACTCGACACGTCCTGAATCAAGAGAGTTCCTGACTGTTTCTGGATCTTGTTGCTAATGCGTCTAACGGAGATATATATATATTTTTTTAGATTCATCCGGATGGCAAGGTGCCGACTTTTATAGACTCGGACGGTACGCTGGTAACGGACTCTGTCGCGGTGGCCAACTACCTGGACGAGAAGTATCCCGAGCCTCCCCTGTACAACGACGAAACGAAGAGCCGTGATTTGGAGTTGTTAGATCACTTCTCTAAGGTGACTATAACTCATCGCCGTCTGGAGACGACCCTTTAACAATTGCGTGTGTGTTCCCTGCAGATTATGGACACCTTTGCGAATTGTATATTTGACAAGGACAAGAGACAGTTTGACGAGATTTTGTCTGGGGTAACGGACGACCTACAAGAATTTGAGAACGAGCTTAACGTACGCAAGACAACCTTTTTCGGAGGTTTGTTACAAATCCATTCTAATTGCCATTTTCCTCTTTGTGCATCCTCGCCAAATTATTAATAATTCATACGTGTATTTTTCTCGTAAGAGTCATAAAGTTTTTATTTTTACCATCGTATCCTTTTGTTTTAGGGACTAATCCAGGTATGCTGGACATTTTAATATGGCCTTGGTTTGAGCGCGCGAAGGCTCTGACTCTACTTTACAAGCAGCGTGCGAGTCTTGATAAGGAGAGATTCCCCCGCATTGTAAGCAGACGATGAAGTGTATTCAGGGACATTAGTTTTCAAATTTGCCAGCCCTTTAAAGTTCTTAAAGTTTTCAAGACTTGTTCGTGTAGAAACATTTTCTTAGAATTATTTATATACGCAGGTTGTTTCCTTTTAAGTGATGCGGCAGATTATCTCGTAAACCGATGATTTAATTGAAAAGTTTTGTAAACGAAAGTTGCGTGGCTTGAAGGGAGTCACACGATGGAAATATGGACTTGATCTTGAGTGGCCTTATCAAAGTCATTCCTCTGATTAGATCTATTTGTGATTTAACTGTGTCATAAAGTTGCGCTTGGATGTATAATAGATTTCTTACGTTTGCTTTCAAGAAAAATAATTCATTTATTGATCATCGTTCACTCTGTTTCAGATGGAGTGGGTAGATGGAATGAAGGACCAGCCATTTGTTCTAAAACACAGATGCTCGTATGAAAAGTTCGCAAAATTCGTAGAAGCTGTAAGAACGGGAAGCGTTGATTATGACAATCTTTAAACATATTTACAGTGGTATAACAAAAATGCTACAAAGATAAATAATACAAGATGGCTTGACGTGAATTAACGTATTAACACGATAGCATTAACGACAATATTATTAACATCGATAGTCTGTGATCTCGTTTGACTCACGTGTGTTAATTTTTCTGTGTTATATGTGTAAAGTTTTTTATGTGTGTATCATTTTTATATGTGTTTCATGTTTACATGTTTTTATGTGTTAAAACTTAATACCTTTTATTTTTATTTTAACATACTCTGTGCCATATAACTGCACGTGTAATGCAATGTTCTAAATCCTTTATTTATTTATAGCTATCTTAATACAAAATAAGTCCGTAATAAATGGCCTGTACTTTGACATTAAATGTCAAACACTGTAGTATTAAGTGTAATTAAGTGCAATATTTTGCATAATATTTGTAATTGTTTTGCATTTTAACAAGGCACTAACTGGACGTGTAACTGTATTGTATTATAATTGTTGCAATTGCTGTTAATATAATGTGCAAATCGGCATTTATAACGTCTTAATTCTTTGCCATTAACTACTTTTTTAAAACAAAATACAAGTTTAAGCAAATTTTAGGTTTTCGTGATACTTTATTATGATAACATTTTTTGTTTCATAATATTGTGTGTCTAGGTTACGACAACGTCGCAAAATTCTGAGCGATCAAAATATTTTTATTGAACATATATAATTAATAAATGAAAGAATCAAATTTTATCTCTTGATTAAATAATGTATCGTTCGCGCTTTACTCACTCCTTTCATACTTATTTTCTAAAGCTCTTGGTGTTATATTTATTATCAAAAATTTGAAAGATTACTTTGAATAAATAACGGCCCGCCAGGTTTTTGCGGTTAAATGGCATTTTGTTTGAAACATCCGGATACGAACTGCTTATAATAGCTTATGAACAATTCAAGAGCGAGCAATCGACATAAGTGACGTACTCTTGCAAGTTTGTCTCTAACTAAAGCGGAATACCTAAAGATATTCTCGGTATACAAATTGATTATTATATCGATAATGTCTGGCATTACCAACAAAAAATGGATTTGCCAGGAATTCAGGGAAATATTTAATATACATATCACAGATTTTATTCCTATCATACATGCGTCACTCCTATATATTATACTTTTCAGCACCGTAACAGCAATATGTAATATTTCGTTTATATTTTATCAACAGCGTCGAGTATGTGGATATTAATAATTTATTGCGTTCCGTAATTGCTTATCGTATGTAAACCCAATTTTTGTTGCTAACGTCATTATCGAAGACCACCAACGTGCCTATGCGCTCCTTATCTCACTTATCACTACAATTTGTTATAATTCATTACAAATATAAATTAGTGTGGATCCTTACAATTCGTTGTAATTGATCGCGATGTCTTGCAGGCCATCGCTAGTCGACTTCAAATCGACACAATTGGCTACAATTTATTCTAATCGACGAGTTTCTTCACAGCATCACGGGCGGATATAATGATTTTGTGAAATTTAATTAAATCTAGTAATCCTTTTGTGAATTCTATAGGAACTACAATAAACAAAGAGTGTGTTTCTTCTTATTCTACATAATGTCAAAAGAGCGACGGTTATATCGAACGAATTTATTCTATGAAGCTCTTTAACAATCGAAAGTCCAAAAGAGTTAATGGTTAAAATTTAATTTTTAAAACAAAATTGAAGTTCACAAAATAAGTAAGTTTTTATACACAATTACTTTTATTTTTATCTTTTCAAAAATAATTTTATTAATAATGTTGTGAATGAAATTAACAACATTATTTTAACTTGTGAGTATTTGCTTGATTTGCATTTCTATTCTTATGTCAAGGATTTAAAAAATGAATGAATGCCAGAACACTTTGCTTTCTCTTATCTTAAATCTAATTTATAAGGCAAGCTTTCAAGAAGAGAATGCAATTTTTCAAGCGTGAGATCAATAAGAATGATCTGTTTACTAATTCTAATACTAACGTCTTTTTTAGAAGAGAAAAAATATTGTAAGATTGTGAAATGTTAAATTCTTTGTATTGCAATTAATGCTTTTAATGAGTGAAGTGTTACTAGTTTAGTTTTCACAAGAAGCAAATGCCCATTCCCGCAGCATTACTTTCCGTTGCGAACTACGATCCTGAAATAATCCTTACAATTGTATTTTAACTTTGAGATAAAATTAAGCGAGGTTTAGACGGTCTGCTACACGCTCGATTTATGTATTTGTATTTCGACGAACGCGTACGATCACCAGACAGTACATTTATTCGGGGGATTCATTTTTGCTCCGAGTGGACAGCGAAACGCCTCTACGAACGCCTGAGAATTCATCATTACATTGTTGATTCTGGAAATGTAATCGATCGTTGTCCCTTATGTTTCCTCTCACGGGAAGATTTCAAATTGCGCAAGTCGAAAGAAATAAAAGAATATATCGAGTACCTTTCAGGATGAGGAGCATGATAGTCGAACTCGACCCCGAAGAGGTAGGCCTCGAGAGTCGTATTAACACAGTGTACCTGAAACCATAAGAGTGTCGACGCATTTTCACGATGTTGGCAGTTAAGTAAGAAAACAAAACGTTAAAATGGTCACTTTTATCTTTAAACACATTTCTTAGAGCTGCGAGAAACATTTGCGTTGGTCGCATATAAATCTGTTATTATACAAAAGATAGAAATGAATATAATATAAATATAAAAATTATCACATATATATGTATGGTAATTTTTTACTTTACATTATACTTATTTTAATCTTTTCACGCGACATAAAATTTACATACAACGTATACAGGGGGTGGTTCTGAAATAGTTGGTCAAAATCAGGGATTGGATTGGGCTCGTCAAAGGGATGAAAAAAAGTTCCCATAAACCCATATAATTGTATAGGTATACATATAAGCATCAGCGATAAAAGATATTCTCAGTTACTATTGAGAAATATCTGAATCCGTCATGTAATTTCATATAAAATAAAAATGTAATATGAATATTATAATAAAAAGTCGTATAATACAATTTCTTAATAATAAAATCAAGCAATCGGGATTTGTGATACAAAGTGGAAGGTTCTCATTTAATTAGAACCAGCTCTCTCTCTCTCTCTCAATTCTTCTATTGTAGTTAATACTATCCAATTTCATTATCGCGGTTGATGAAGCTCAGTGAAGTTTGAAACCGCAAGCTACAGGCATCGATAAATCGAATTATATTGTTCAAATCTATAGTTCTGCTCGTTTATTGTCCCACGACCTTCGGTCATTTTTTTTTGGCCTGTGACGAGAGGATATTATTTTGTTACTTGAGTAGAGTATAAAAAGAAAGAGAAAATCGGAAGAAATATTTAAGGAAGGGACGAAGGTTACCTGTGCAGCACTTATAAAGAATAGCTGACTCGGACGGAGACCTTCCAATCCGGGGAGGCTCCGGTCCTTCCCGTTCGTTAAGGTGTGCCAGGACTTGTGGGCAATTTGCAGAGCGCCGATGTCCGCGACGTTCTCGTTCTTCGTCATGTTCCAATCGAACTGTGCGAATAAAATTAAGAGTAAACAAACAAAAAAACCGGTTCCGTCTGATCGCAATGTCGTGAACATCGTCTTCTCTTATCTTGGAGAGACACATAAGCCTACCTGCACGGCAACGTCGTTCCCATAAGACTGGACCTTCCGCCAGAAACTACGGGCGTAAAGCCGCGCGACGCACTCTATCTTGGTCTCCAATCGTCTCCAGGTGTCCGGCGTGACGCGAAGCCACTCGTCGATATCTCGGTCCGGCTCCGCGAGCAGTTTACGACGATGGAAATCGAAGGCGTGAAGGATCTCGTGCGCGATGACCGATCCTAGCGTGGCGTGTACCGCAAAAGCCGGTCCGCCGTCCCACGACCATGCCCAGGATGTCATCATGGCCAGTGGAATACCTGTCATTTTTTTTTCCACAAGAGCTTCATTCAAATGACACCAATTTCGCGCGAGTCGTAATAACAGTACTTACCGATGGTGTTTGTGGAGGATTCGTAATAGGCGTGTACGGAATGAGGGTAGTGACGTCTGAAAGCATATATCTACAGTTTAGGTCAGAACAAAGCTAAATCGTCATCAAAAGACTTCAAATTATTTTTAGAGTCACGGATTTTTTCTGAAACACTTGTTCTCTCTCTC